TATTGAAAAGATAATTATATATTGTTAGAAGTAAATCTTATATATATCATCTTATTGAAAAGATAATTAGTCATATAATCTCTTGAAGCTATAAAAGTAAATAATTGTCATGAACATAGTTACTATTACTATTTTAAAATAATTATATATGTATAATCTTAAAATAATAATAATATTATAATTTAATTACATAATAGATGCATTATATTAGAAAATATATCAGAAATAATTTTAAGCTTTTAAAAAATTATTTAGAAGATTTTTAAATATTATTTAGAAGATTCATTTTAAAAATTTATAAAATAAGTTATTTTTCTCTTTTACTATATAAAAAGACTTATTTAGATAATAATATTTTCTTTATTACATAATTATAAAATAATAAATAATCTCTCTTCTCTATATTATTATCTTTCTTTTCTATAATATAAGTCTTTTTCACTATATTATTAATTTCTTTTAAGTTATTTTAAGATACATTTTTTCTTTTTCATACTTAAATAAAGTAAATATGCTAAATATTACTTAATAGCTATCAAAAAATACTGAAATAATATCAAGTTAAAACAAAAGAAGAAAATATTAGATATTGATAAATCAAGTGATAATACTATTCAGATAAAAAGTAAAAATAAGTCTTTAGATAGTAGCTAATTTATAAAAAAGTTGAGAGAATTAAAACAAAATGCACTAGAAAAATTCATCAAGAATGCAAGATAATCAAATATATAAATAATAAAGAAATGGAAGCTAGTTTATAAAGATTTTGCTGAATTAATATTATATAATAAAAGAGTAATTTTAAGAAAAATAGCTTTTAATTCTAATAAAATTACTAACTGATTTCCTATTAAGATAGCTAACCTTAGTAATAATGAGCTTTTATTTAAGAAAATAATTAATTCTAGTAATAATAAGTTTCTGTTTGAGAAGATAATTAATTCTAGTAATAACAAAAATATATTTATTTTGATATCTCTTGATATTTTGCTAAAGAAAAAATTTGATATATGATTTGATATAATGAGCTAATTTCTCCATCTCATTCAAGATTAAGAATTTTTTAAACTATCAGTTAGTAATCTTCTTGCTTATAGTATTAATTAGAATTCATGATATAAGTAGATTTTTGTTCATAGGTCAATTAATGATTAAGTAAAGATAAAATTCTCATATCATATTATAACTATTACTTAAAAACTATATCACTCTTATTTGATAAAGTTTTTAAAATACATATTATTAAATATTTATATACAAATAAGTTTATAGTAATCATTTATAAATTTATCAAATTTATTAAGAATGAGACTCTATCTAATCTTGGAATCAAGACAAAAAAAAAGATTAATAAAATAATAGCCCAGAAATAACTATATCAATTTAACTAGGATTATAAAGACCATTCAAAAAATATTTATTTTGATAGCTTATTGAAATCAATTCTTAGAACAAATAATAAATTTATAATCTCAGATTATAATATATAAGAAAAAAAATATGGATCAAATTATCTTGCCAACACTTTTACCTAATATTCTTAAGCTTATTTCAGTTATCTATAACAAATTAATTTTTTATATCAATAATAATATCATTAAGATCTGAAATTTAGTAAAAGAAAATTAGTTCTGATATAAATCACAAAATCTTAGTACCTATATAAGTAATTTTATTTATGAATCAATTAGATATCTTTGTTTTTTAACAGAGAATCAAGCTATAAATAACTTACTTTTTGATAATAATTGACTTTTATATATTAAGATCTGTGTTATTATATATTCAGATTCTAATTAATATGACTAGTAAACAAATTAAAATCTTATAAAGCAAGTGATTGACAAAACTATTTTAATTTTTGAGAGAACACATTCTGGTAAAATTATACTCTTCATATTTAATAATAATTATAATCATAATGTATATATTAATGATATCCTAATTATTTTATAGATGAATTTGAAGAATGGTAACAAATAATTACTTCTTTGTGATAGTAAAATACCTAATAGTTCTTATTATATTCTGATATTTATTGATACTAATGATGGAATTAAATCAAAAAATAACTGATGAATTCTCAAAGAGTATAGTCTGTGAGTAAAAGATTTAATGAAGAAATGTGATACTTGCAAATCACATACTTTTGATCTAATAAAATCACAATATTATATAATTAGTATTCTTAGTCAATAACCTAATTTCATATCTTAACAAAACTATTTGCAAAAGATCATTAAAACAGCTGGTTATATGTATATTTTTTATTTAAAATTTCATTACAAGCTTAATTTTATTTTGAAGAGAGATAAAGTAATATTTGTGTCTATATTGTGATTACTCTTTCAAGAGTCTCAAGAAAATTATTTCATGAGTATTAGAATTAGTTATCCTGATCAAGATTTGTTATTATGCATATTGATCTACTTGTTATATAAATACTTATGAATAAGATCTTTTAGATAAAGTTGTTATTTTTGTCATGAAAAAGTATAGATCATATCATAGAGTTTCTGATAGTATTTTGAAAAAGTTTAGCTATATGAAATAATCAAGCTAGTTTAGTTATTTGATTGATTTAGCAAAGAAGAGTTTGAGAAGTTTAATATTTCTTTAAATAAAAAATGGATAATAATTTTTAAATAAATTAATAATTTTTAAATAAATCAATAATATCATCAAGTATGCTTCTTCTTATTTATTATATTATAAAAATTAATTATCTTATTTATGTAATAATATATGAGTTCTGTTCAATTAGAAAAAAATCTCCAGTACTAAAAATTTCTCTAATTTCATATTAGATTTTATTAGAAGTAACCAAAGAAAAATTCTAACTACTCAATAAATTACTAATATATTTTATAAAAAAATGCATTGCTTTATAGATCTTATCCAAGACTATCTAGCAATATATTTATTTTTATAATTATATATTTATATATAAAGCCTTTGCAATTTAAAATACTTGATGACTTTAGACCATTCACATCATATTATAATTTTTATTATTATAAATATAATATAAATTATTAAATAAAATATTTTAAAAATTTATAAAATATTAAAATTTAATTATTATATTATTTTTATTTTTTTTTCATTAAATAATTTTAAATCATTAAAACAATTAAAAAATTTATAATTTATTATTAATTTTTTAACTAAACTAAATACTTAATATTTTATATTATTTTTATTATTTCTTAAATTCTTTTTAATATTAATTTAACTAATATAATATATTTTCAATATCAATTTCTTTTTATACTCTTTTAATTTTTTTTTAGTTATTCTATATTGAAATTATATCAGAAAGAATATGTAACTCAATATTAACTTACTGTTATAAATATTCAATTAGATTAAAATTTAAAGATTAAGGCAATCAATTCATAATATTAATATCATTATTAATAAATTATTATTTTATTAAATTTATTATATACTTAGAATTATCTCATTAAAGTACCGTGAAGAATGTTCACGCTTATCACCTGATATGTAAAAGTAGTGATGTCAGAGACTGATCATCATTAGTTACACGTAAATCAAAAGAATTACGCGTTTTTATATATCATTCTTTCTAACGGTTGTGCTCACTCTGTTTCAAAACATTACGTTGGTTACTCGGGTAAGCTTGAATGACAATAGTAGGTGGAGAAAAACACTTAATTTTTAACTTATTCTAAACATTCTAGAACTTGTTCGTTACCTGGAAGACAATGACAACGCAACGTGGTCCTATGCTGGATTTCTGACACTCCATCGTGATATTCTCCTTAAGTCACCGCCTTATTTGGACAAATGGTTTCATCTCGACGGTCGCTGGGCCAGTCGTTTTTTATACGAAGTAAAAGAACTGAATCCAAGTAATTTCAGCATCATGGAAAAGAGGGTGGTATTTTTATTTTTATGTTTTGTCTAGGGAGCTCCTATTCTGCTCTCATCATGATTAGGAGTATTGGCTCTCTTCCCAACCCGAGTGATGGACTGGTGGCACTCCTATTCTGCTCTCACCATGATTAGGAGCATTGGCTCTCTTCCCAGCCACTACCATCGCGACATCATCTTTACTTGAAGTTGGATCTTTTCTTTTAATGAAAAAATTGTATCAAAGTTTATACTAATACGCCGTTCCCGCGGGTAAAATCTGAACGCGCAAACAATAGATTCCAGCTATATTCCTAGAAGTTACTTCATACAAGCATAGATTTGATTTCGTTTATTTCACAAAAAAGATATTAGCAAATCAAACACATCTAAATGTAAGTATGGACTTGCTGGGTATCGCTGGAAAACAAAATTTTCAAAAAATGACCTCTAGGGGTTGTCTAAAGACCTTCAGTGAAACCAATGAACTACAGATGTCATATACATAAGTTGTGTTATCTCAGTCTTTGTTGTATCTATAATTAGCTTCTATCACTCACTTGGTTCAAGTGAATCTCAAGAAACAATTTTAGACTTTGAAAGTATATGAAAATATATATAAAAACTCATCAAGAATTATTTACTAATGATGATTTAACTAAACTGAAAGTAACTTTTTATTATGTTAATTCAACTATAATAATAAGATATAATAATAGTTATACAGATTACTATTTTATAAATAGGTATTGATTATTAATTTCTGTCAAGAATTTATAAGTATATTTATAGATTATTCTTCTAATTAATATAAAATATTTAAAAATTATGTATTTTGATATCATATTATTTTCATAATTTAATATTATAGAGGATAAATAGAATATTTACCAAGATTTTTGAGACTCTCTATAAGAAAAATATTAAAAATTCATATTAGATATCTAACAAAAAGAATTATATAATAAAAATGGTAAATTCTAATATCTATTAATATATATTAATAATTATCATTATTAATATTTTATTATAGATACAATATAAAATCTTAGCTATATAAAAAGTACTAATATTATTTATTAAAAAAGATTTTGATTTTTAAAACTTTTTATGAAAATTATAGCTAACTAAACTAAATAAAATAATTTTAAAAAATATTGATATTTATCAACTATATCAAGAAGACTTTAATAATCTTTAAATAGGACTTGAAAAGTTCTTAAGTTTAAATAACAAGTTATATGATTAAAAATTTGTATATTTTAAAATATATTCAAGTATTTATATAGAATTAACTAATATTATTCAAGCAATTAATATATTTTATAACTTAAAATAATTTAGTAATATAATAATCTCTATTAATAAAAAATAAAAAATTTTTTGATATAGAAAGATATAATATATAATATAATATTATAATACTATTTATTCATGATATTAATATTATAAAAGCTTTTATTATTAATAAATAATAATTTTAATTTAGGTATTATTATTCTTTGAATTTTTTTTAAAAAAAATTGTGAGCTATTAAACTTTATTATAATAATATAATATATTAAAAGATAATAAAAATAAAAATATAGAATTCTATAGATGCTTAAAATTATAATTGACTAAATAATAATTTTAATTTAGATATTATTATTATTTGAATTTTTTTATATAAAAAATCATGAGTTATTAAACTTTATTATAATAATATAATATATTAAAAGATAATAAAAATAAAAATATAGAATTTTATAGATGCTCAAGATTATGATTGACTAAATAATATATATATATTTATTTAGATTCAGTTGATATAAAAGTATATATTATATTAAGATATAAAAAAAATAATAAATATTTATTAAATAAATATATTTTTTAATATTAAATAAAAAATATTTTAAAAGTTTTAAGTTTTAAATATATAAGTATATATATATTTATTTAGATTATATAATCTAAATTAATATTAATATGATAAATTAATTTAAAATAAGTATTTAAGTTAACTATTAATATATATTATTTATTATTAATAAATAATATATAGCAATAATAATTAATATATTATTATATATTAATAAATAATATATTAATAATAATTATGATGGATTAAAATGAAATAGGATTAAAATGAAATGGTGATCTTTTTTTATTGTTATGTGAAATGTGTGATCTTGAAATTTTATTAGTCAAAATTAATAATTTTTTACATATTATAATTTACATAATGTTAATATTAATGCTATGAAATATTAATTATGTGATTTGCATTATTAATAGTTGATTGGTGGATTGGTGACAAGCGAATAGGAACTAAATACATAATGTCAATTTGATATCATAAATGATAATTTTCTCATCAAGGTTTTTTGTATTTTGCTAAAGCTTTTCAGCATGTTGGAGTAGGTTAGAACTCTGGCTCTTGCTATCTGATAGTTTCGAGATTCTTACTCTGGTCAGTCAGATTCTTGTTGCCAACTGAGATTAAGTTCACTGATATATTTGTAGGCAAGAACTGACGTCAAAGATAAAATCTGAGTCATATAAAAGTTAGAACATTTTGTAGACAGAAGCTAATGTCGACATTATAAGCAAAGCCAATATTGATATGTAAAAGTCTGAATGAAATCTTTAGTATATGAGATGTGTGAAATATGTGATGTATATAGTATATGCAAAAGGAAATATTTTTTTGGACAAGCAAAAAACTCTTCTTTTTATAAATATTCAGTGTAGCATTTTCACATGCTAGATAAACACAAAATTATGTTCACTTATCCAAAAAAAATTTTGTCTTTTCTCACCTTCTTAAGCTTAAGCTTACCTAACTTGCTATGCAAATAGATTTACGTGTCCTTCCAAATTCACATATCTTTCCTAATTCAATCAGGCCTTTCCAAATTTGCATGCCCTTTCTAATTCAATTATGTCTCCAAATTTACATACTCTTTCTAAATTCCCATCTCTTCACCAAACTGTCAAAATTATTTACTATCTTCTAATATGGTAAAACTTCCAAAGATGCTGGATACACCTAAGGATTTTGATGATATTATTACCTATATTCAGTCTGATACGCTCCCTGTCAAGTATAATGACCAAGTAAAAGTGGCAAATTTTTAAAAAAGATGCAAGAACTTTATATATGATATCCAAACTGATTATCTTTTCTATGTTCAACCTTCAAAGAATGAAAATTCTCTACCTATCAAGAAAAGAGTCATTCCTATTTATGATACTAAGTTAAAGAAAGCTCTTTTTGAAAAGTTTCACGTTGGTAGAACACACTTTGATTATTATAAAATCTATAAGATGTTCTATGAGCAATATATTGATATTACGCAAGAAATTATTCTACCTGTATCTGAAATACTAATATCAAGGAAAAAGCAGACTTAATATCCATTATAGTTGATGGTCCTCTCAAATATGTACAGATTGATTTGGTTGATCTTCTTTCCTTTGCAGAATATAATGATAGATATAGTTACGTTCTTATAATGATTGATATATTTTTGTGGTATATTTGGACTATTATGTTTTATGACAAAGGAGGTGATATAATCTATTGGAAATTGGTAAAAATTTTTACAATCATTAGTCCACCTAATAAACTTCAAGCTGACAATGGGTCAGAATTCATAACTGATATCCTAAAGTAAATATGCAAGATATTAAAGATTTTTATTTGTTTTATGTTTATTTTTTTTATCAATCTTATTAATATTTTTTTAGACGCAACTTATTTATAGCTATGCGCATCACCCTCAGAGTCAGAACAAAATTGAAAGATTCAATCAAATGCTTGACTGCCATTTAACCAAAATATTATGGGATAAAGTTTCTAAAGTTCAAGGATATCAGTAGATCGACATCCTTCAAACATTTGTAATTGCCTATAACAAGACATCTCATAGCACGCATGATAAATCACCCTATAAAGCCTTTTTTGATTTCAAAATGCGAGATGTTTATAGTACTTCAGGTAAAATGGTTATCAAAGAAAATATCCAAGTCCAAGCTGAAAAGAATCAGAATGACCAACAAGCCCAAGCTGAGAGAGACCAATTTGAAAACTATAATCACCAAGGCCAGGCCAAAAACAAAATAATCAAGAAGGATAATGGCCAAGTTATAATTAATACACCAGATGAAACAATTACTAAAGTCATTCAAGATAACCTCCAGAGTATTATTCAAGGGAAAGATAGCCAAATTACGTATAAAGTCCACATAATGCAAGTGAAAAAAGTGTGAAAGAAGGTTGCAAAAAATGATGAATGATATTAGGACAAAATAGTTATTTGAGAAAGTATTTATTGAAAAAGATTAGCCTTTGAATCAGAAGATAAAGTTGTTATTGCCAGTGATCATGATACAAATCAAAAAACAAGAAAGCAAAAATTAGAACAAATTTGTAATACAAGTGGAGAAGTGGTTGCTATGTGTAGTAATAATAAAACTATAAGAGTAAGAGTAAATAGAAAAGCAAAGATTTTTGTAGCAAAGAATTTAAGAAAGCTTCTGCAAAACTAAAATCAATTGGATAGGCTAGATAAACAAGGCAATACAAAATTTAAAAATTTTAAATTAAATTATATTTTGCATTTATTACATTAAAATTATTAAAGATAAAACTACTAATAATGTAAATTACATAATTAATATTTCGTAGCATTAGCATTAATATTATGTAAATTATAACATGTAAAAAATCATTAATTTTGATCAATAAAATTTCAAAATCACACATTTCATGTAATAATAAAAAAAGATCATCATTTCATTTTAATCCTGTTTCATTTTAATCTGTCACAATAATTAATAATTATTAATATAAATATTTATTAAAGATTATAAGATTATTGATTAATATTGATATTTAAGAGAAATATTTATTAATTTTTATAAATATAATAATGATTCTTAATAAATATTATTCCAAAAAATTTTCTAATATAATAATTTTATTTTTCTAACTTTTTTAAAATATCTTAAATAAAGTTTAATTAGTATTTGAAAAGAATAATTTAATAATTTTAATTTAATTATAACTCAAAATTATTTAAAAATAATTATAGAAGAATTAGTATTCAAATACTTATAAGAACTTTCAGAAAATATTTTTAATATTATATAAAAAAATTCTTGTTCTAATCTTTATTTATAATTTATCATATATTTTTTGATGTTTTAAAATTCATATTCTCTAATACAAGATTCATATTATTGAGATTATTTTACAAAACCATGCAAATACAATATGATATTTTACATCTTACTACTTTATATATTGCAATCACATTATCAATTTCAAGTATATTTACAAGAAAAACTGAAATATATACTATAAAAATTACTAATTACCTCTGTATTTTGAAATATAATTCATTGAATTTTTCTGCTAGAAAATTAAGTATAATTTTAAAGTACTTGTGATATACTTCATATTGCAAGCTTTAAAAATTTTCAGTGATTTTTATTATTAAGTCTTGAACTTTAAACAAAAATCTAAAAAAACTTTTAGCTTCTGATTTATTTTGAAGTAAATTTGAAAAGTTGCCAAGTATTAAAAATTCTAATATCTTGCTAAGATCATTAAAAATAATGATATCTGAATAATATTATTTTAATAAAATATAACAGATTTCAATTATATATAAGCAAAAAATTAAATAAATATTTATAGTACAAAATATATAAAACTGAGTTATTTAAAGCAAAATTACTAAATTAACTTTTAATTAAAAAGTGAATTCTTTATAATAATTATTTTTATTATATAAAATTTTATTTTAATCAGATTTATTAATAATGTATAGTGATCATTATAAATATTTAGGATTTTTGATATAATATATAAAACAATGAAAAATTATCTGATAATTTAGACATATCTTTTTTATAATCTGTAAAACAAGTTTGATTAAAACATTTTACAGAATTATTATTAATTATTATTACATTTTTCTCAATAAAATTTATTATAAAAAATAAGTCAGATTCAACAAAGATTGAGCTCATGTTATTAAAAATAATATTAAGTAATCCTATTATTTCATTATAGGTGAAATTGTTCATTATATTACAAAGAATATATTTATAAATTTTGACATTTTTTCATTAAATAATCAATAAAGATAAAGTTAGCTACATATATGGTTGTTTTTAGTTTTTTATAATTTAATGGTATTTTTAATAAGATATTATATCAAAATGTCTTAAGTAACTTTGTTCTTCATATCAAAAAACATATATTTGAAAAATCTCACGAAATTCTATTCATTCTTTATCATATAATTGATATACAAATTTAAAAATTCCGAATCTTTATGACGACCACTGTAATATATTCTTCTAACAGAAAAAATTGAAATTCATAATATTTAAAATTATTAGAGAAAAATATGCATATTAATAACATTATAATCTTCGTTAAAAGAATTCAATATTGATGTCGAATAAAAAAATCACCAAAATAAGCTTTCATATGATTCTTAAATTATTTTTGTAAATAAATATTAACCGCAAGATTGCTATTTATTATTTGAAAATTTGCATGTTCTTATTAGATTCGTCTTTTCCAATTAACTAATAAATGTATAATTTAGCTTCATCCAAATCTTTTATGAGCTGTTCAAGTTTCATACACGTATATGTATTGCCATTTTCTTTCGATAATAAATTCACTGATCTACCAATAGGATTTAACATTATATAGAATTTTTCCATATAAATTTGTTACATAATGGGAATAAAATTGCCTTATTTGAAATGTTAGGATGATTTTTCATTAGCACTTAAAAGGGGTATAGATGGATAAATAAATCACGTTGAATAGGATAAAGGAGACAGTTATTTTCCGGAATTTTTTCTCGCATCGCCGGAAACATTTACCAGATCGAGCAGTTTACAGGCACACACACACACACACATATAACCAGTCATAAGTTAAAATTAATAGGAAATAATGTTGTTTTTGTTGTACTAAAAGAATCCAGATTCAGCAATAATAATACCGCCTGTTAACAAATAAACCAACCCATAAAACGCGGCATTACTATATATTGTGTGTATGTTAGCACAACATCCACAATCAAACGGAGCAAGAGGGATATTATGTCTACATGCGTGTATGTATATCGGAAAAAAAAGCATTATTGTCGTAGTTCTCACATTATTTTCTGGTATTAATAGTCACTATAAATCTTCCAATCAAATAGTATCATTTTTTTCGTTTTGCGTAACCATTATCAATGGCGTAATCTCCTCTGTAAGTTGATGAGCAAAAGCCCAACCTAAATAATCATCACCAACAAAAACTCCCAACAACTTTTCCACGCATATCATCATCCTTTTTGCTTTTGTTACTTTGTTAAACAGTAAAGAAGAATTTCACTTTTGTTACGTTTATTGTTCTTGGCAGTATAAAAAAGTTCTGCGTTAGTCATACAATACCCAAAGACACACCCTATAATGCCAGTTTGCACATCCTGTCACCAAACCAAAAACGACGAAGCCTTCTTTCACAAGAACAAAAAGTGGAAGACATGTCAAACGTGCATTGAACAACGCGCAGCCAAGAAAGCTAAAACCAAGAGAAAGAGGGAGGAAGAAAGCTCAGTCGCTCCTACCGCTGAGGAAGAAGCACCACGTGTCGCTTTGCGTACTGTCGCCTTGATGGAATTGTCGGATTTAATAGCGAACGAGCTTCGTGAATTGTCTTCCACTCCAGCGCCCTATAATCAAGACGGGTCGCAGACTCTTGCTTTTAATTTGAGAGTCTCGTTGAACTTGACTGGAGTGATCACTGGAACTGAAAATCCTAAAGAGGTTGCTCGATGGATAGTGGAAGAAATCGAACGGGCTGACGAATTCAATTGGACGTAAGTTGTTTTGCAGTGGCAGTAATGGGCTTTTTATTGCCGTTGATTTTACTTAAACTGGTCTCTTCTGTTCTTTTTATCCCCTTATATGGATGCATATGACGGGACAGTTACAATTGTATGAATACTTCAATGCGTCATAAAGATGTAGCCAAATTTTATTACGTCTGCAGTCAATCGATGGTAGCCATGAAGGAGTATAAAGAAGGATCAAATAGGAAACGAATGGAGCGTTTTCCATGCCAAGGAAAAATGCAAATGAAAATCGATATACCAGCCGGCGAGGCGATGTTAGAGATTCAACACGGTTTACTTCATAGTCGACCGGTGATCACCACTGAGATCAGTGATGAATGTCGAAAAGAGATTGAAGAAAATCTTAATCTGCCACCAATTCAACTTCGGTCATATCTTCGCACGAAAGGAGTTTTAAAGAATTACACGCCTAAACAAATTCATACATATTGGGAACGTGTAGCCGCGATGAAAAATCCCACATTACTTGCTCAATATAATGCTGGTCTTGCACCAACTCTTCCCGGTGACTATACGATTATGACCGCAGCAATGAATAATTACACGGGAAATATCGTTAGTATAAATCCGATATCTGCTGATGTTCCGATGGTTCCTGTAAATATACCAGCAACATCAACAGCAGCAACCACAACATCGACAACGACAACAACATCAACACCGCCACAACAACAACAACAACAACAACAACAGTTAACGTCAAGTAGTGCTAATGGTAATTCAGTTGGTATTAAATCAGATTCCTCAGAGAATCTCCAAAAACAAATTAAATTTGATCATGATGAATTCGTCGAATACGCTGCAAAGATGGAACAATTCTCGAAACGAGTGAGGGATCAGTTAGAACGTGGAAATTATCTTTGGTTGGATACAGTGAAAATATTGACGGCGGGTGTAATTGAAATGGAAAATGACATAGAAGAATTGGAACGACAACGAGCGAATGAACGAGGCACTAAACCGTGGACAATGCACTATAAATAAAATTTAGTGGTATTTGTTACTGTTCCTCTTTGTTTGATATCCATTAAATTGGTTTTTCTCCTCTTTCCTTTTTTATACAAGTCCACGTGCACCACCATAAGAATTTATCGCGTGATTTTTTGATAGATTCGTGCTATCATTATCTTAGTAATGTGAAAAGATGTCTCTTATTACGTTATTTTTTGGTGGTATTACTACCTTATCTATTACATACACGAATCTATTAAAGGAAAATAATAAACCCGATTTTCTTCCTTCTGTATATTGTGATTGTTTGACATTTCTTTCAAATTGCCTTTTATTATCGCTTTTATATACATATACAAATTTTTATTGCTTTGGTTGCGAATAAGAAAAATTCATTTTATACATCGTCAAGATAAAACTCTTAAAATGTCCATTGCACGGGTTTCTTTGATTTTTTCGCGTGTCTTATCCTTTGGGTTATTCGTCGTTTCATCATCGTCATCATCATCATCATCGTCATCATCATCATCATCATCATCATCATCATCATCATCATCATCATCATCATCATCATCATCATCATCATC